TATAGAGTTAGCATTTAATTAGTTGTATGATATTGGCTAAATAGGCTATCTGTAAAATGATTGTTAATGAAGCAAGCAAATTTATATTTCATAGGAGTTGCACATGAACTATTGAAGCAAAAAAAATTACTTGATCCATATATTCGTTCAGTTAGTAAGTAATATTAAATCAAATTATTTAAATTAGGGCTAACTAAATTATTTAACTTAGGATTTCTTGATGATGGTCAATATCTTGTTTTATATGCTCGAAAAGAGCAAGCTGAATTACTTTCGCAATCATCATATATTGAAATTGATATGGCATTTAAGAGAATTCACAGCGTAACAAATGAGTGGGAAGTTTGTGCCTATGTTCATCGTTATCAAAAAGGTAAATTTATTATTTAGAAATAATCTACTTGTTGTCAGCGACGATAGTATCTAAATTTAATAATAGGTTGATTGCGATTTTTAAAAATGATCTTTGGATATTTAACATATTAACATTATTATGAAGCCCAAGCAATGCAACTAAAGAGTTTTATTTTATATTAGAAAAGGTTATAGTATATAGTAAAGTTATGCAAAAAAAATTTTTTATTAAAATACAAAAGTTAGTTTCGTAGCATAGTTATTTGATTTGAGATTTTTGAGGTTTTTGAATAGTGCAACCGTTTGGTTTGGAATTGTAATCACTGGCAACAAATATGTTCACTCTATTATTTTTTGTTAAATTAATAAAAAATATAAACACGTTTTACTTATATATATATTTTTTTATAGTACTAGTTTTTGCACGAATATTTACAAATTTTCAATCGGCCAGAGCATATCAATATTTATTTGAGGATTTATTCGATACTGTTGAAAAAGATATGGAAAAGCCATTTGAATTTCAGCACATTCATGGTCGTGGATTGGGTTGTATAATTGCAGATGAGCATCAAGGACAGGCACTTGGTAAATATATTAAATAAATAAACAACTCACTTTCGTTATAGTAAATTTTTGATATAATGAAGATTCTATATAGTAAAGAATTTGGAATTGTAGAACTATTAAAATTCAATGCAAGTGCATATAGTCTTCTCTTGATACATATATGCTATAGTGAAGATTTATTTTTTTAGCCTGACGATTTCACTATAATGAAAGTATGTCATATTAAGCAAATATATTATATTTATAATTTATTTATTTATTATTTACATAGGTCTTGGGAAATATCTTCATTCGAAATATAGTTACTTATCATGTGAAGAACATTTAAAACATATTTACAAATTATGTCAAGTTCATTTTAATCGGTG